CTCTTCCAGAGGAGCTGCTTCCATTCAATTTTACAGACCTTCAGTCACCAGATTACCAGCCCCATGACAGACCTTTACAAATCCTCTTAAAGCTTATCCCAGAAAGGTCCCTCATACAAAACAGGGTTTGGAAATCTCAACCACACAGATAATCTCACACAGTGAGTGACTGTCACTGCACTGACCAGCACCCACCTGAAGGCAGGAAGGTGCCAGTGACACCATGTTAACAGGCAGGGACACCCTGTACACAGAACTCTGCTGTTGGCTGCTCTGTTCTCAACAGCAAATGGTAATTAGTGAAAACTCTGATTATACCCTGAGTTGGACACTGTTCTGACTCACACTGTGAGAGCTGCTGGGGGAGCTGGCAGATTGTCTGTGTGAGCTGCCTGTCCCACCCCCAGCAGGGTGTTGGGGGTGCATTAACACCAGCAAAACCACATTTCTGACAATGGCCTTGTGGTTCAGAGAACAGATCAACTGTGCCAGGACATCGAGTCTTCTACTGGTATTGTCTCTAACACGAGGGCACTTTTACTCTGAAAAGGTATAAACGTAAAGAGTTTTGACCTCATCTGACCATGAACGTGCTGGCAGGTGCACCTTAAGTTTCCTATTTCCTGGTTGATGCAACAGTGGTGTTAAGAAATGAACGAAAGAAGAAGAGGCAGAGCTTGTGCACAGCACGTGCTCGTGTTCCTGTGCCACCAAAACCACATCAGAGCAGAGGAGAGCTTGGAGGGCCAGGTGATCCTGCTTAGATTAGTCTCCTCACAACAGGCACAATCCCAGATCCTGCAGGGATCTTCCCACGGGAAGAAGGACAAGCAGCCGTGTTCCACACCTCTCCGATGCCGGGCCTCACCTCTCGCCACAGTCATGGTCGCGCTTTCCTGCAGGGGAGTCTTGAAGGACTCGAACCCGAAGACCTTCCGCAGTGTTTTCCTCACCCTGCCCTCCAGGCCCGAGGGAGCCTCCCGGCTCATCCTGGGGACGCTGCGAGAGGAACCAGAGCTCGTCCGAGCGCTGCCACCCTTCCCTGCCCCGTCCCACCGCCGCCTGCACCGCCTCCCTCGGGGCTGCCCCGCCACGCTCCCCCATCCTCTGGGGCCTCCCGGGGTGCTCACCCAGGCCCCTGACTGAAGGGTACCCCAATATGGTTTGCTCTGGGTCCCCACGGGGCACAGGTCGGGCACAGCAGAGCGGGGGGGACTCGCTGCCCCCCAAACCCGCC